GCACTCAGGATGCATAGGCAGGCGGATCTCTGTGAGTTCAAGGCCAGCCTGGTCTACACAGCAAGTTCCAGGACACCCAGGGCTATTACAGTGAAACTCTGTCTCCAAAACAAATGAACAAACAACAAAACAAAATGCAAAAGAGCAAATGATAAAGAATGGGACGTGGGAAAACAGAAAGAAGCAAAGCGCAACAGAAGTAAAAAGAATGAGGAAGAGGGAAAGGAGCAAGAGAGAACAGTGGGTTACACAGTGAAGATGTGAGTTGATGGGCAAAAAAACAAAACAAAGACTTTTCTTCTGGGGGGGGCAGGGTCTCCCCATAGCCCTAGCTGGCCTGGAACTTGGTATCTAGATCAGGCTGGCTTTGATCTCACAGACTGCGTCCTGAGTGCTGGGATTAAAGGCATGTACCACTGCACTGGGTCATAAAGGCTTTTTAAACATGAAAAAGTAAAGTTTCAAAACAGTAATTTTTTCAGTACAAAGGACTGGAGAGGCCTCTGTGTCTTCCAATATCGGAGAGCCAGGTAGAAGGGAGTGTTGAACTGGTTCAGTCTCAGCCTGGTGCTGTGCACTGATGAAGGGCCAGCTCAAAGGTCAGTTGTTCATCGGGTCTGTGTTCAGTTTCCCTTTGTGTACCAGGAGCCACTAATGGCCGCATTTAGCTTTGGGACCTGTGGAACGTGTGTGTTCTCATCTGCTTGAATCTCCCATTTTTGCCAGAGATTGCTAATGTCCAAGCTGAGGGTGTTTTTGGAGTAGGTCAGAGTGGAGAGCGCAAACCAAGACATGCACTAGAAGTAACTGTCAGTCCAGGCTTTCAGATTCTGCCTGGCAGTCAACCAGTCTGTAGCAGGAAATAATTGGTGGAAATCGAGTCACCTACCTGATTCAGATTCAATTTTCTGTCCTGACAGCAAATCAGAGGGTAAGAATGTAGCTCAAAGCCAAGCTGTCTGTTGGCCACAGGCTCAGGGCTGTTATTCCCAAGTGATGGGTTTACTCCTCACCACTGCGTCCTTCACGGCCTCATTAGAATATTGCTTAGATTCTTGCTCTGGTGACACATTCCACTTTTCCTGGGTGTTTTCTGATTTACAATGGCTCAACTTTGTAATGGGAGTGAAACTCATTCAGTAGAAATTGTACTTAAGGCTTTGAATTTGCTTTTTCCTAGGCTAGTGATACGTGGTATGACCTTCTCTGGAGATGGTCAAACAGCATCAAGCCACAACTTCTAGTCAACCCAAGAACCACAAGGGAACCCGTGGTGTTCTATGGTGCTGTGTTCCACCTACACTCAGAAGGCAAGGGGACAGAATACATTTGCAACTTACATCATCCAACTAGGAGAAATTAGTCAAATTGTAACCCATCTTAAGTCAAGACATGTCTCCATTACTGAACTAATTATGAGATCCACATTTGAAAACTCCAGGGTTTGGATCACTGCTGGAGTCAGTTTTTGTCATGTTACTTTGACCTTTTAGCATTTTGTTGTTTTTTTAGTGTCTAAATTTTTATTGAGTCAAACTGTACATATGTAAAGCTGTAGAGCGATGATCTCGCCATTGATAGGTGGGACAGGCATAACATCCTGGTCCAGCCTGTGATGACTAAGTGCTCCAGGGCTGAGGCTGTTCACCTTCACTGCCCTTCAGGTCTCACCTGGAATCTCGGCTTCTGTGTTCACTGAGGCCCAGGTTTGTTTTCTTGTACCAGCTGTCTCAGCTTTTTTTTGGAAAAAATATTTTGAGTATATATGAGTATAGTGCCTGCATGTATGTAAGTGCACCATGTCGTGCAATGCTCTTGGAGGTCAGAAGGTGTCGGATCCCCTGGAACTGGAGTTACAGAAAGTTGTTAGCTGCCATGTGGGTGCTGGGAATGGAACCCGAGTCCTGCAAGAGCAGCCAGTGCTCTTAACAGCTGAGCATCTCCCCAGCCCCTCATCAGCTTTTCTGGGCTCCTGCTATCTTAGATTCTGGCTTGCCTGCCTGGGTAAGAAGATCCAAGAACTGGTACCAGTCTCAGGGGAAGGACATGTAGTCCGCTACAAGGCTCCCTCTTGTCCAAGACCATGGCTTCCAGAGCCTTAGACGACATGACAGTTAAATCCCAGTGGTTTCCACAGCTCAGTGCCTTGCTGCCAGCTTTGGCACCACCGTCTGTGACGTCTCACAACCAGGACACCAGCAAATATGGGAAAAAGGTGAGTTGGGAATGACAGGATTTGCTTTCCTTAAGTTTCTTCAAATCCCAGCTGCCTTGACTGCTCTTCTTGTCTTCAGGCAGCTTTGTTTTTCTGAGACAGTCTCCTTATGTAGCTTGGCTGGCCTAGAATTCAATATGCAGACCAGGCCGGCCTTGAGCTTGCAGCAAGTTCTGCTCTGCCTCTCAAGTGCTGAGAATACAGGTGTGCCCTACCCACCCAGATCTGAAAGCTTACTCTGCCCCCACTTATTCTTGTTTGTCTGTGTGCAGCATGGCATGTGTGTAGAGATCAAAGGACAACTGCAGTTCTCATTTCAACATGTGGCGCTGGGGATTAAACTCAGGTCGTTAGGCTTGGTGCCAAGTACCTTTACCCACTGAGCCATCTTGCCAGCCCTGAAAGCTCCTTTAATTTTTTTTTTTTTTTTTTTGGTCTCTTTTTTTGAGACAGCATCTCCATGTTGCCCCAGCTGTCCTGGAACTCACTATGTAGACCAGGCTGGCCTCGAACTCACAAAGATTCACCTGCCTCTGCCGCCTAAGTGCTGGGATTAAAGGCGTGCACCACCACACCCGGCCCCTTTAGATTTTTAAAAAAATTTCATGCACATGAGTATTTTGTCTGCATGATATAAGTATACCACCACTGTGTGCCCTTGTCAGCCAGGACTCTGAGCCTCTGGAACTGGAGTTACAGATAGCTATTAACCACCACGTGGGTGCTGGGAACCTAACTCAGGTCTTCTGGAAGAGTAGCTAGTGCTCTTAACTGATGAGCCATCTCTCCAATCCCTTTGAATGCTCTTTTAAAAAAATATGACTGACAATTTTGTGGCAAGAGCTGGTTTGATACTATTTGCTGCCTCATGGTCAGAAATGAACAGGAATTTCAGTTTCAAAACAAAGCCCCATGTTTGACTGGTAATTGTATTCACTGAAGTGAGAGTTCTGAGGATTACATAAAACTTACTTCAGGTAGACAGGAAAAATCCAGGAGCAACCTGCCCCAAAGGTCATGTAGAGACAGGGAAGCTAAAACTAAGGAGTGAAGGTCGAGTGGCTGAGAGCAGACACATGTTCTAGTGACAGCCAGTTCCCCACTCCAGTGCCTAGCTACGTGTCAAGCCATGAGGACGTCTTACCAGCAATGGGTCCTTTGCCTGTCCTTGCAAAGGCTATGAGCAACTGAGGACAGGGATAGCTCGGCTATGTCCTGAGTGTCCAGCTCTTACTCATGTCAATGAGATGTTCAGGATAAAGGAGCTTCAGTGTCACTGACAGCTGTTATTTCTCCTGAGAAAAACAAGCCTGTTGTTTTCCGTAAGCTCTTTGTACTCTGTGACTTGGAACATTCTAATCAGAAAACAGTAGTGTGGAGCTGAAATTTTAAAACCAGTAAATGGCAGGCTAGATCAGGAAGCAGCATAGGTGCTCTAAAGGGCTCCTGTGAGCATCTCCACCCCTGGGTGACATCACCACTACTCTATCCTGTCACCACAGAAGGACAGCAAGCAACCTTGCACAATATGCAATGTGCCTGTGGTACACGCTTCACTTAGAGGAGCACCAGAGGGACTGCAGTCTGTCATCCTCGGCCTGGCTTACAGGCTGTGCCAGATCAGGGATGCATCCAGGTTAATCAGTGCTATGACCCATGTTCTGGAGAAAGTAGGGCACCAAGTCACTGTTGAGTTGGGAAAAAGAATGTAGTCCCACCAGTTCCTTGGGTAGACTGTTTTTGTTTCGAACAGCCTCTTACTCTGGCTTAGCCTGGTCTCACACTGGAGTTCTGCTTTCATCCCAAGTCCTGGGACCACAGGCATGTGCCATCATGCCTGGCAGGGCTGACTTGTTTTAGAGGGAGAAACTTATGAAGCCACATATCCCTAAAATCTAAGGATATTATCATTCAAAATATAATCCTAAGAAGAATATGATGAGGGGCTAAAGATGTATCTTGGTTGGTAGAATGCTTGTTTAGCACGTACAAAGCCCTTGGTTCAATTCCCAGCAATACATAAAAACAAGTATGGGGACATATGCCTGTAATCTCAGAGGCAGGAGAAATCAGAAGTTCAAAGGTCATCCTTGACTACATAATGAGTTGGAGGCCAGCCTGGGTTACATGAGATCCTGTCTTTAAAAAAATTAAATAAGAGCCTGGTGTGGTGGCGCACACCTGTAGTCCCACCACTTGGGAGGCAGAGGCAAGCGGATCTCTTTGAGTTCAAGGCCAGCCTGGTCTACACAGTGAGTTCCAGTCCAGCTGGGGCTACAGAAAGACCCTGTCTCAACAAGACAAAAATAAAATAAAATAAATAAATGAGTGAATGAATGGAGGAGAGGAAGGAAAAGAAGGGAAAGGAAAAAGAAAAACCAACAGGATGGCAACTAGCTATGGACCAGCAGGGCTGAGCAAGACCTGCTGAACTATTACCCCTTGTTCATGCCTAGAGCCCCTCTCCATCAGGAGGATGCTGGCTAGGGAGCAAGTGGTACCCATGTTCCAGACCAAGAGCTCCATCACAGATTGGTTCCCCAAGTGGATGTACAAACATCAGCTGAGAGGCTAAGGGGTGACATGCGCAGAGGTGCTGGCCTGGTTCTAACCACCTGACCATCAGAAACACCACTACAAGAATTCTGCCTCCACTTCCCGGTGTTCTCGCTGTAACTAAGGTGACATTTCAAACACTGTCCAAATGAAGTTTCTATATGTTGACCCACAAAAAGGATGCTTGTTTTTACTATCCTAAAAATAAAAAGCCAGTGTCAATAAGCAATAGAAAATTGCAAATAAAAAGTTTAATTTCAGAATCCAAGTTCACCATTTATAAATACACTAAAGCATAGTCTACGCAGATTTAGACTGAGCCTAGGTACAGTATTTCAACAGAAGAACAGCTTTCTCTAAATGGTCACAGGCAGATGAGTGACTTGTCTCACCTACAATACTCAATTGATCTGACTTGAGAAAAGGAATGCTCTTTTTTTTTCTTTAGACATTAAAGCAAAAACTTTGGAGACATATTGTTTAGGAATCTGACAACTGGTATTTTATTTTGATGTCCTTGGGATTCTATAATACCCCAGTGATGACAGAATCTTCCTAGCATAAAAAAAAAAATCTAAATGCCTAAGGCTTTTCTCATGTCTGCAGTGTCACCAAGAAACTTCCCTGTCAACAACAAGCTTTCTCCTCAAAGAAGAATCTTAGCAAATCTGACCAATCTGGGGAGTCAGTGCACACCTCTTATGAGATAGCTTTATAGCGTAGAGACGCAAAATAAATCAGAGGCATGGAGATTTGATCAACAGGCCGTCTGCTGTAAACGTGTCATATCATGCACTGGTTAAATCATAAGCATGAATTTAAAACTTGGAACCAATTTCAAGGGGCTCATGGTAAGTGGAGTATCTCTGAGTTAAATGACCTACGTAAAACCTGAATGCAAACACCTGATACCAGAAAGTTCTCATGACCAACTAACCATATAACTGACACTCCATGATACAGTTCAGTTCTATTTTCAAATGTCTGGTTTCTGTTGCAATAAACAGCTTCTAGAATATTTTCTCCTCAACACACTTTGGAGCCTGCAGTTAAGAACTGTTCAGTCAGGATGGCTTAACCTTCACCTCCTATTTACAGGTTTCGTCTGACAGCTACAAAAGCTGTTTTGTTGCGATTAAAGCAACATTTAATTAAAATACAGCACCTGATTTGTGATTTTTACACAAAAACCCTACACAATAAAACTGTTTACATCTCCTCTCCATTCTAGTGGAACAAATTACTATCCCTCAATTTTAAAAAAAACTTTACAGTTATGAATTAAAACCTGATCATCCTAGTTCATAATTGACAAGACAGGCTGTTTCTAGTGGACCTCGGAAAACGCACCGTGATACCTGGCCTGAAGGAGGAGTAAGGCACATGTGGACGTTACGGTGAGAGCTGGCAGGTGGCCCCAGATGCCTAGTCTGGTGTCCTACGTGGCCCTGCCAAGCAAGTCAGCCCTGGTGCAACAGCTAGCACTCGGAAAGGCATTGCTCCATCGTGAGTTCAATACTGAAAGCATATCAAGGGAAGATTCACTTTCAAAAAGATGAGCTTTTCAAAATGCTCCATCATGAACCTGGGCTGGCCAAAGCCACCGGCCTCTGTGGGTGTGCTGAACAGCTTTTCCGAGGGGACCGTACTTGGGGGACAGCCTAGAAATCTGACTGCCAAGGTGGACAGCCCAGGCCAGGATGACCGCTTCAGGTTCCAGTAGGTCAGTGGGTCGCAGCTGTGTTCCAGCACCTCTTCCTCCAAATACGCGAGCACCATGTCTTCCGGTAGCTTCTCTCTCTGCTCTCTCCTCTTTATGGGTGCAACAAGTGACCACAGGCTCTCCCCTGTGCTGGAGTCTTTCAGTGGGGACCCTGAGTCACAGCCATTGGAGGTGGCTGTGTCCTCTGAGGTAGAATTCAGTATTTCTAGCTCCCTGATTAAGTCTTGCCTGTACTGCTCTGCCTCCTCCTCTGTGAACAGGGAAGCTTTGTAGCGAGGGTCCAGCAGTGTGGCGAAGATGTACCTGGGGTCATGGAGGGTGGCGGACAGGCGGCTCGCCATGGCTTCCTTCAGTGACTTCAGCATGGTGTCAATGCCCATCGTCTCCCCAAAGAGCATCTCAACTTTCCTGCTGAGGATGTGGATCATGGGGATAACCTGGCTCAGTGTAGACATGTGGGCACTCATCTCCCGGCTCGCAGCATCAAACGGTCTCAGCACATGACACACAGACTGCATGACCTCCCATTGGTCACAGCTGATCAGTTCTCTAAAGTTACACTCAATGGATACTTCATTAACTGCCCTCTTTTGCTCAATGAGCCGTTCAAGCATGTGGAATGACGTGCTCCACTTGGACGGCACGTCCTGGATCAGCTGGTGCTGTGGCAGTGCATACTCCTTCTGCAGTTCTGCCAGCTTCTCCCTTGCCCTGGGGGACCGATGGACCCGCTCACACAGCTTCCGGGCAATACTCAGTAAGTTCTGCACCATCCTCTGGCTCTTGATGGCCTCGCTCACAATCAGGTTCACCGTGTGGCTGAAGCACTGCACGCTTGAGTGTTCGCCCTCACTCAGCATCTTCCCTATGCTTGGATTGTCAGTGACCGTGATGCCAATCTGAAGGCCAATGGAGGTCACCCAGGCTTCCCACCAGCACTCCAGTTGTTTCTGAATGCTGTTTCCACTGTAATCACAGTCGATCTGCGACACATCTAAAAGTGCTGAACAATGGTGGTCCTCACAATGTGGTCTTACAGAGGATGCAAAGGTGACCCAATGAGCTGTGAGGGTCAGGTACTCACGGGTCTGGCTACTCATCCATATTCCAGAGGTGAAGTGGACCACACCGCTCTCAGCTTCCTTCAGATGAGACATAATTATCTGCTTCACATTGTCATACATACCTGGGATAGCTGTCCTAGAGAAGTAGGAAGGGGAGGGTAAAGAGTACTGAGGTTTCAAGTATTCGAGCAGCCGGTTAAAGCCAACATTGTCTACAAAAGAGTATGGCTGAAGGTCAAGTGCAATCATTTCAGCTATGAGACTTGTGATTTTTTTGGCAACTGGGTGAGAGTCATAGAACTTCTCCGTGGGGTCATGGAAAGAGGCAGCTCCTGAAGGCTCCATGCTCAGAGGCCCCCGGATACCTGGAGAGCAGGGCAGTGTGGCTTCTGAGACATCATTCTTGAGTACGTGGCCATGGAACCGCTGCAGATGTCTCAGGAGGCAGCTGGTGCCCAGGTTGGTGGGCTTCTTGCCCCTGCTGATGGTCCGGCCGCAGTGCAGGCACACCACCTTAGTGGAGTCTGCAGAGCAAATAGAAAAGTGGTTCCATAGTTTTGATGTCTTCTTACTATTAGCAGGAAGCACACCTTGATGGTTTTTCCTGACTACTGCTGGCAAGTCAGTTAATTTGGAGGAGGAACTTTCTGCAGAGGCCAAAGTGGCATATGGAGAGTTTGCCAAACTTGTACCCAGAAAGCCCTTCTGGGTCCCCACCACCTCAGGGTGGCGTCGGTACAGATGTCGCATCAAACAGCTTGTGCCCACATCCCCCTTCTTCCCCCGACTGATGACACAACTACAGTACCGACACACCGCCTTGAGACTGTCCATGGGGGCCAGAGAAAAGTGGTACCAGACTTCTGACTTCAGTCGTTTCATGACCTTCTTATTTTGCTGGAAGACAGCACCTGATTCAAACCTTGGACTGATAGCACCTGCTGGCTGCTTCTCTGGAGAGGACACCACAGAGGCCTCACCCAGGTCATCAGAGGATGACAACATGGACACGTCTTCCCGAGAGGCATCCCCAGAATTTGTGTGTGACGGCAGGTCCTCGGCCAGCCTGTCTGGGGATGAAGAAGCAGAGCGGCACTCTTTGACTGGCTTCCCTGGAGATGATTCAGAATTTAGATCCCCCTCTGGGGACAGCAGGGTGGGCAGCAGTGTTGGGGGTGTAGGGTACAAGGGTGGGATGCCTGTGCTGCCCCCGTTCTCCTGTAACACAATAGAGCGATGTGCTCTCCACATGTGCCTGATGAGGCAGCTTGTGCCCAGGTCCTTCCCATTCTTCCCTCTGCTGAACTCGTTCATACAGTGGACACAAACAGCCTTGGAGCTGTCAAGGGGTGACAGGTAGAAGTGCTTCCAGACTGCTGACCTCCTCCTGGACCCAGATGTGCTCTTGGGAAGGGGAAGGTTTCTCTCTGCCATGCCCTCTGCAGCATCATCATAATGGAGCATGGAGAGATGGGGGGATGAGCCTGCCAGGGCCTCCTCTCTGCCATACTTCTCAGTGACAGACACATCAGAGGACACCTCCTCAGAAGAGACCACAGACACAGACTCTTCCATGATTTGGTCAGGGGATGGGATCTTAGGAGTCATTTTCTGGACAAGTCTCACAGGTGAGAGTGCAGTGCTGAGGTCCCCCACATCTGAAGGCTGTGGGGGAAGCAGGAGCGAGGGAGAGGGAAAGGAAGACCCCGCTGATATACTTCCGTTTTCTTGAATGAGCTTGGTGGGGTGTGCCCGCCTCACATGTCTCATGAGGCAACTTGTACTCAAGTCCTTTTCATTTTTGCCCCTACTGAACTCTTTCATACAGTATGTGCATATTGCTTTAGTGCTATCTCGAGGAGAGATAAAGAAATGCTTCCAAGCTGGAGATTTCTTCCTAGAGCTTATATGGCGGCTAGAAAGAAGGCTCTGGGTCACAGCTTCCATGGCTACATTGTACAGTGTGCTGCTGTACTGAGAGAAGAGCGACCCGTAGTCATCCTCACTCTCAGCAGGTAAGTATTTCCCAGGGGGCTGACAGGCACAGCTTGATGCCCTGATTTCTGCCTGTTCATCACCACTGTCTGTCTGTCTCATGTCCTCTGGCTCACTTTTAAAGTCCACTCTTTCCAAACTGTCACTTGGAATCTGAACATCTTCTTCCTCTATTTTGAAATTTACTTTGTCAGAAATAAAATCGCTGTCCCCTTTGGGACAAGTTTCCTGCTTATCCTCCATGACAAACCATAACTATCCTGGCTGCTTCATCATTTTGACATCTTAGCTGAGTAAAAACTGGTCCAGAGGCTCACTTGTGAACCCAACGCAGATTTTCTTCACTTTCTCCTGACAGCCCCATCTTCTAGGGTGTTTAACACGGCTGATCACAGACGTCACTGGAAAGCAGAACGCGCAGGTCACGCAGGCACAGTCAAAGGGCATGGGGCGCCGTTTTCCAGGAATGCTGCTATCAAGCCCCTCTCAGTGTACACACCAGTGTGCACAGGTGCAGCACAGACTTGCTGGTCTGAGACAGGAGCCCCACCACCCTGACAGCACACATGGTCCTTTTGCATTTCCTGTAAAAGATGACACCAAATTAAGCATGGAACTGAACTGTGTATTTTAAATCTATACTGTCATGGTGTGCCAGCCTGACTATATATGAGAAAACTTCATAATGGAAAGCTGAAGTGGAAAAACTTGTCTTGTGACATTTTGCCAACCGTTCACATAATAAAAGCACCCCAACCCTGCAAATGAGAAAAAGGTAAAGGTATGAACTTAAATTCAAATGCCTTGCCAGTAAGAGTGGGGCACAGGAGTGAAAAGCTGTGATGACATTAAAAGGTCATTTTCACTTGGGATTTACAGCTCACCTTGCAGTTTACCAGAGGGATCTCTCAGAGCTGCTTCCTTGAAAGCAATTCCTTCTACCTTTCTATCACAGTGTGTACAGTGGGAGCTTAAAAACACCAGATAATCTATGAAACGAATTTAGAAAGAAAAGCAGGCTGAAATGTGAAAGTTAAAGGATCTGGGCTGGGGCAGGAGTGGCATGCTTTAAGAGCAACAAAAGATAGCTTTGTAGGTAAGGGTGCTGCTACCAAGCCTGATCACCAACCCCTCTAAGTTGTCCTGTGACCTCCATATGCATGCCACGGCACATGCAACCCCAGCACTAAAGGGGGGGGGGGCAAGCAAAACTGCAACAAATTTGCTTCATAAGGCAGCAGTGGACATACTAAGTAAGTGGGGAACTCTACGAGGGTCTCTAACAGTATGAGCTGGGCCATATTAGGAAGTAGTCAAGAGGCCCCCATAATCTGCTAAGGGTATCTGTAAATTGTTCCAGATAGTCTCAGTTTAATGACAAAGCCTGAATTCTCCTTCTAAGATCAGGATACCACTAGGAAGTTGTCACCACAGTCACTCAAAGTCATACTGATGGAGGCCAGAGAAGTAAAGCAAAAAGAACAAAGGCAAATAATTATATATTTAAAAGAAGACATGAAGTTAGAAGGGAGGGATCTGGAGAAGAGGAATATGGGGATTATGATCAAAATACATTGTACACATGAATGAAATTCTCAAAAAAATAAAAAATATTAAAAGATAAAATCTACATGAAAGGCAAACAAATTGGAAAAATAGAAACTTCATTTTTCCAGTTACATAGTAATAAGAGATCTATAAAATTTGAAGTTAGAAGATAGTTAATACACAAAGCAACTGTATTTCTACAGGTTAAAAAAAAAAAAAAGCATTTTCAAAATTCCATAGATAACATCCCCAAACAAAATTCTATCCATGAGATAATTTTTTAAATATTATTTTATTTTTAATTACATGTATGTGGGGGGGTGCATATGTGCATGTGTGGCATGTGGCACTAGGAAGCCAGAGATATTCAATCCTCTGCCCCTGGAGTTACAGGTAGTTGTGAGTCATCTGATGGTAGGTGCTTTTACAGACCCTCTGTAAAAGCAGTATATGTTCTTAACCCCTGAACCAGCTCTCTAGTCCCTGTTTTCTGTTTGTTTTGAGACAGGGCCCTGTTATATACTGCAAGCTAACCTTGAACCTGGGATTCTCCTGCCTCAGCCTCCTGAGTGTGAGGTTTAAAGGAGTACACCAGTGTACTTAAGTGATTGGAAGATGTATTTTTATTTATTATTGTAGGGGTGTGTGTGTGCATGTGTGCAGGATTTACACTTTGAGCCAAGATGGAGTAGTGGGCTTAGGATTTACTTTCTGACCTGGGACCACCACTAACTAGGATGAGAACCAGCAGTTAGCACAGAACAGTGACCACAGACATAAAAGGCTACTGACAGCTATCTTAATTTACCACCAATATCTTAAGCAAATGGAATCTGAAAGCAATAGCTACATTCATACCTGACAGAGCAGACCTCAAGTCAAATTACAAAGGATAAAAAGGTCACTATGTTAACAAAGGGAACAGTCCATCAAGAAGACATGGAGGGCAGGGGCTATAGCTCAGTGGGCAGAGTGCTTGCCTAGCCCTGGGTTAAAGCCCTAGCACTGTCTAAATCAAGAAAAAGAAGAAAAGGGAGGGAGGGAGGGAGGGAGGGAGGGAGGGAGGAAAACACAACTCATCAGAACCTTTAGGATACAACAAGGGGCAAGTTTATCGTTATGAATGCCTGTATCTTAAAAATGTGATGGGCCAGGTGTGGTGGTGCACACCTTTAATCCCAGCACTGGAGAGGCAGAGGTAGGTAGATCTCTGGGAGATCTAGGCCAGATTGGTCTACATAGTAAGTTCCAGGTCAACTGGGGCAACAGGGAGACCCTGTCTCAAAAAGAACAAAAACAAAATTGAAGGGGGCAGTGAGATAGCTTGGCTGGCAAAGGCACTTGCCTTCAAGCCCAACAACCTGAGTTCTATCCCCAAAACCTGTATGATAGAAGAAGATAATTGATCCTGCAAGTTGTACTCAGGCCAAAACTGCATTCAGACTCTATCTTACGCTGCCCTCAAGAAAACCAGCGCCGGCCAAGATACCGCAAAAAGCTTCTTTTTTGTAGCTTCCCACAGCTGGGGAAAAGTAAACTTGTACAGCCATGAAGGAAATCAGTATGGGGGTCAAAAAAACTAAAAATAGAACTCACATATGATACAGCTATACCACTCCTGGGTATGTAGCCCAAAGAATCTAAGTCAGCACACCAGAGATACCTATTCACAATTACCAAGTTACAGAATCAGCTCAGGCACCGGTGGACAATGGCTGGATAAAGAATATGTGATACACATGCACATACTGGAATTTTATTCAGCCACAAAGAAGAATAAAGTTATATCATGTGCGGGAAAATGGATGGAACTGGAGATCACCATCCAGTTATGTAAGATAAGTGAGACTCAGAAAGGTATCACATTTTCAAGGAAAAGAGTTTAAAATTTAAAAAAAAAAAAAAAAAAAAAAAAGGACTAAAAATATGAAATAAAAATCAATTACAAGAAAACCAAAGATTACCCAAAATAAGCAAACAAGTAATAACCACGTCTGTTCCTCCCCTCCTCACCCCTCCTCTCCCATCCTGAGACCCAGAAATCTCAGTGTGCTGAGGAGACAGCAAATGAGGACACACCCTGTGGCCACTGAACAGACTGTGTGCCCTAGCTCTGTTCGTTGCAAAGGCCTGCAAGAGCGATCATTCATAGCATGGCACCTCTCTTGTCATCTGGACGGTGATTCCAAAACATCTCTTCAAAGCCATGAAGCGAAACCAGAGTGAGCAAGTGGTTTATTCCAGTTTTGGAGCTGGAAGAACAAGATAAGCCCAGGACTTCTTAGCATGACAGCCAGCAAGGACCCTCTGAGAGTACACAAGGACTACATCAAAGAAACCTGGACGACTCTTGCAAAGGTTCCCACTGCCCAGAAAGTCTGAACATAGATAAGCAATACCTCAACATGCATCAAATGTTTATGAAGTCACTCTTTGCTGCTACAGGTTTGAGTGTGTAACTTAAGTGTCCCCTAAAGTTTCATCTGTAAAAGGCTGGTCCCCACAGACTGTAGGACCACCTGCTCTTGAATGTAAACTTCCGGAGCCTTCGGCATTTTACGGTAGTGACACAGAGCTGATCAATACAGACACTTAGAGGATAAGACAAATGATCGTAAAAAAAAAAAATTATATGTATGAATGTCTTGCCTGCATGTATGTAAGTACACCACATGCATGCAATGTCAAAGGAGCTCAGATCTCCTGGAATTGGAGAAAGCTAGACAGCTATTAGCTGTCATGTGAGTGCTGGGAAGAGTTACTGAAGAACGGTCAGTGCTTTTAACCACTGAGTCCCTGAAGAATGACAGTTTTGAAAACTGGAAAATATAAAAAAAACAATTATCTTTAGTTTCCTACCTGAATTGCTATCGTAGAGCCTGCTAGTAGACAAGGAGGGTTCTCTCCCTTTACAGAGGTCCAGCAAATACCTCAGGAAGCATAAGCAGAGCCATGACACAGCTGTAACTTGTGGACTAGAAACTGCAGATACCTGTAGGTGTGCACCAGTAGCTGCCAATCAGAAAGTGGTGCCTAAATGTGGGCTTCTGCTGTTTTTTTTTTTTTTTTTTTTTTTAGGACAGGGTCTCACTAGGTAGCACAGATGGCTGCCCAACTTGAGATCCTCCTGCCTCAGTTTCCTGAGTGCTAGGAAATCTGTTGTGTGCCACTGTGCCTGGCTTTAAGGTGCTTTTTTTTTTGCCCCCCCTTAAAATTTGGTTTTAAAATTATGTGTTTATCTGTCGGGCATGGTGCACTTGGGAGGCAGAGGCAGGTGGATCTCTGTGAGATCAAGACCAGCCTGGTCTACATAAACAAGTTCCAAGCCAGCTGGAGCTACAGGGTGACCTTGTCTCAAAACAAAAACAAAACAAAATAAAAAAGCAAACAATAAAAATTATGTGTATTTGGGGTTGGAGAGATGGCTCAGCAGTGAAGAGTACACACTACTCTTGCAGAGGACCCAAATTCAATTTCCAGCACCAGAATCAGGCAGCTTAACAACTGCCTGTAATACCAGTTCTAGAGGATCCATGAGCACTGTATTCACATGCACAAACCCACATACATATACACATAATTTTGAAAAATAGTTGTTTTAAAAAAAAATATGTGTGTGTGTGTGTGTGTGTGTGTGTGTGTGTAGCTGCCCATAGAGTCCATAGGAGGGAATCAGATCCCCTGGAACTACAGTTACAGACATTTGTGAGCTGCCCAAACTTGGTGCTGGCAAGGTACTCTGGTCCTGCTCTTAACTGCTGCACCATCTCTCCAGCCCTTTGAGGTACTTCTTGAAACAGTACAGCACCCTTGAAAAAGAAACTTGCCTAAAGTCAGAACTTTAATCAGGCCTCTGGATCTACCTACCAATTGATGGAGCCAGAAAACAGAGGAGTGATAGCCCTCACAAGAGGACACCGCTAGTAAAATCCAGAGTAGGAGAAACCCAAGGGCAATCACCAAGCAACACCACGAAAGGCAGGCAGGGTGCGGCCTGCTAGAGTAAACTGTCACTTACAAAGGGCAGTTA